GCTCAGTCTCCCAGGCTGGAGTGCAGTGGCCTGATCTTAGCTCACTGCAACCTCTGCCTCCCCGGTTCAAGCGATTCTCCTACCTCAGCCTCCCGAGTAGATGGGACTACAGGTGTGCGCCACCACGCACAGATAATTTTTGTATTTTTAGTAGAGACGGAGGTGTCACCATGTTGGCCAGGCTGGTCTCGATCTCTTGACCTTGTGATCTGCTTGCCTCAGCCTCCCAAAGTGTTGGGATTACAGGCATGAGCCACTGCGCCCAGCCTTTCACTTGGTTTTCTATGAAAAAGAGAAAATCTGATTGACACTGTGGAAGATACTACATTCAAAAAAAAAAAAAAAGTACTATATTTTCTAATATTATCAGTGTTTTTTCCTGAAGCTTTTGCCGCTTTTTCAAAATCTGGAAGAAACAAGGCTGTTGATTCCTCTAATTTCAGGCGCATGTAGCTTCATTTATAATAACAATGTTTTTGAAAAAATAAATTAAACCGACAGTTTCATTTGTAGGACTGACTTTAATAACACGCCTCTACTGAACAAATGGCGATTAACTGGGGAAAACGGAATTACGGTAACCGAGGTAATGGGGTCAGGGACTCCCTTTCCTTCGCTGCTTGTTGGGTGGCGCGGCGAGAACGCTCTGAGGAGGTTTGGTCTGTCGGCCACGCCGTAGGCCGCGGTGCATTCTGGGTCCTGGCAATATGGCGTCCTCCTTGATGTGCTGATGAGATGAGTTTCCCTGTAGCTCCAAACCAGAGGGCAAAGCTCCCCTGACCCAATAAGCCCTCATTGTCCGTTTTCACCGTGGTTCCGTGTCGCCCGTTTCTCAGGACTCGTTCTCAGGCAGGAGAGAGCCTCGGGGCTGAAGGCCAGGACCAGCCAGGCCGCGCGGACCTGAGGTTGAGGAACCGGGTGCGGGCGAGCACGATGGGCCGGTCCTGGCTCTGGTTGCGGCAGCTCAGACGAGTGCGGGACCCGCAGGGCTGAGAGTGGCTGGAGGAGACCCAGGGCCCTTTGAACCCGATCCCTTGGCCGGAGACCTCGGCCCAGTGGGCGAACCGGCACCAAGAGCGGCCTGCCTGTCCTCGGAACTGCTGAGGCGTTGGAGGCCGAGAGCAGGGTCATCGTGAGGCCTGAAGTCTCTTACGCTTTTGACAGCTCCGCTCGCAGCCCCTCTGGAAACGTGCAGCCCCAGGAGCAGCCAGTGGCTTGGGACTTGGGCTGGTGTGTGTCTGCGGAGCTTCTTGGGCTGCCCCATTTCCTAGCGGCCCCCACCTCCCCACTTCCCGCCCAGAGTTAGAGATAAGGATCTCATACTTTTTGCCTGAGTAAGGGTCTCCGCACTCTCCATCCATTTGTTTTTCGATTTCCCGTTTTTCTGTTTCTTATTTCACCAATTCTGGTACACGCTAGTTTTTAAGGCTGGAGGTTCTTGAGCGCTTGCTGCCAAGGACTCCCCCACCCCCTCCCCCACTGATGGAGTCCGAAATGCTGCAGTCGCCTCTTCTGGGCCTGGGGGAGGAAGATGAGGCTGATCTTACAGACTGGAACCTACCTTTGGCTTTTATGAAAAAGAGGCACTGTGAGAAAATTGAAGGCTCCAAATCCTTAGCTCAGAGCTGGAGGATGAAGGATCGGGTAAGTGGATTCTGAAGGCACCCCTTGAACTTGGTAGTTTCTCCAACAAAGAAAGTTTACAGCCTGAAAAGTGTCCTTGGGAAAGCGCCGACATTTCCCCCCAGCCACACGTTGTAAGTCAATTAGAAAGCAAAAGCCATTTCAGACTGCAGTTTTTGGCTGAAAATGGGAAAGGCTGTTTTGATTAGTCGTTATTCACTGGGTAGTGTTAATTCAATTCCAACTAAGTTCTGATTCAGATAATAAAAGTTAAGCAAATTTGAAATACAGCATTGCGAGTATTTACATGCTCTTCGGCATACTACTTTGTTCTGTTAACACTTAGAGGAAGGGCAACGTGCGATATAATGCTTATACCCACATAATTAGTCTACTTTGTAAAATTTCCAAGCTGGGTGAAGTGCAGAAGTCTGATATACTATGCTAGGAAACGAGATTACTGGAAAATGTTCAACTAGTAACAAATTAGTGCAAAGTTATTTTAAAGTTACAGTGAACTTCATTCTAGTCTTCTCAACAATTTGTCTTGAAGCTAGACTTTCCTCCTTTTATGTAGGGTCCTGTTGCTGTAACTTGGAGACAGGATTTCTTTAATCGTGAGTTAGGGTATGAGGCATTGTGTGCAGGTTTCAGGTTGTCCTCATGGTGTTGGAGTGTGGAGAGTGATTCACAAGCAGCTGGTAGGAAAGAAAACAGCTGAATTTTGTTGAATTTATCCTTCATAAGATACCATCTATTTCCTGGTCTCAAAAGCAAAAGGGTGGTACTGCTTCTCATGTATGCACACTTATAATTCGTCTTTTTGTAAGTTATGTTCTCCCTCCAGGCTGCTTTTATTTATTTGCACGTTTCAGTGGTATAAAAGAGGAAGTTGGTGTTACAAGGTTTGATTTCCTTTAGGCTTATGTATATGTTTATGGAATATTATTGTTTTTTAATATATGATGATGAACATATATAAGATTACACTTCTGGGCTGGGCGCGGTGGCTCACACCTGTAATTCAGCACTTTGAGAGGCCAAGGCAGGTGGATCACCTGAGGTCAGGAGTTTGAGACCAGCCTGGCCAACATGGTGAAACCCTGTCTCTACTAAAAATACCAAAATTAGCCGGGCTTGATGGCAGCTGCCTGTAATCCCAGCTACTCGAGAAGCTGAGGC